ATCCCCCCCCTCCCACTCATCCCGTTCGTCCCCACCGCCTTTTTCCGACACGGAAAAGCAACACGCGGGCCGCAGGTGCTGTGCACGAACTCGCAGCTGTGCGACGTCTGCGACAGACCCAAAAAAGAAAGTAGTTTTTTCTTTTGTTTAAGTAGTTTTTTTTCCCCTCGATTTGCAAATGTGATCCTTGCGCAGGATCCATGCTAAAGCAAAACGAACTTTCCCGATGCAGGAGGGCCTGCAAAACGACAAAAAAAAGGAAAACCGGTGCATCTTGCCATTTTCTGCCTGAGGATCCAGTCTCATTTTCGAACATCTGGAGAGCTTCGGAGCGAACGCTTGGTACTCTCCACGTGCGCAAAAGACAAAAAAGATGGCAATGCATTTCTCCGTGTTCTAGCAGTGGATTCAGTCTCATTTGCACATTTGGAGAGTAGTGCAGCGAGGCCCTCAGGCCAAAACGAAAACAACGGGCGGGACAAAAGCAAACCCGCAAAACGACAGAAAAAAGAAAGAAAAGGAAAGAAACGAACAAAAGGAAACTGGCAAAACGACAAAAAAAAAAAGAAACAAAACAAACGAACAAAAGGGAACCTGTGTATCTCCCCATGTTCCAGAGGAGAATCCAGTCTCATACGCACGGATCCCGAAATTTCTATCGGGCCGTCCAAGGGAAGCCCGCTCGCGGCGTGAAAAACGAGCGCAGTGTCCGTTGGGCCCGCCTGGCAGTCCCGCCGCGTTTCCCAAGAGTGCGCAGCGGCCTCTCGCGGAAGCGTTACACGAGGACCGCTGTTCGCTTAAAGAGTGTTATGGATATGGATATATCTATTTCTCTCTCTCTCTGACACACACACACACACACAATCTCTCTCTCTCTCTATCTATCTATCTATCTATCTATCTATCTATCTATCTATCTATCTCTCTATCTCTCTATCTAACGCACTCTCTCTCTCTCTCTCTCTCACACACACACACACACACACACACACACACACACACACTTGCACACACATTTCAGGAATGAGATAGGGATAGAGAGAGACAGAGAGAATGACTGGGGAAGAGAGAGAGAGAGGGCTAGACCCTATAGGCCTGGTGGAGCAGAATTTAGACCATTTGAAACAGAGAACGACTGGAAAGGGAGGGAGACAGGGAGAGAGGGAGGGGGGAAGAGAGAGAGAAAGAGAGGGAGGGAGAGAGAAAGAGAGAGGGAG